ACATACGATCCATCACTCGAAAAGATATGGATCGTATACATTACGTAATACATACGATCCATCCTTACTAATGTGGTGATCCAGGTCACTAAATTAGTAAGGATCGTGCGTTTCCGAGTAATTGATCGTATGTATTACGTAAGTAAAATTCGTATGTTTCTGGCAATGCCAATGGATCGTATGCATTCCGTAAAATTCGTATGAATTCCGTTAATTCATTGGCACCCCTGTACTTGGAGATAAAGCATGTGAGGGGGTGAAGTCTGCCATCTCTGTTTGCCATACCACACACCACATACCAGACATCCCCACACAGACAGACGGTGTGACGTCACACCAGGTAAAAATAGACCCAAAACAACCTGCCGACTTCCGGTTCCGGTCTGCCGCAACAACACAACAAAAGGCTTCAGAACAGGTGTTCAAGTAACAGACTTTTAAAGGCATCCTGTGCCGTTTTAAGGGCTTGGAAACCCAGTTTTTAAGAGCCAATATTCTAGCCATTTATCCACATAACTTGGAACCACACTGTCCCAATGTACATTGACCCTCATGGAGCACAAATACCCAAAATTCTGACGGAAAATGGTCACTGGAAGGGCCCTTGGCTGATTTTTAGGGTACCACCCAGAAAATAAAGGACTCATCTTGGGGCTTGTTTCTGCAGTTTTAAAACCGTCACCAACGCAGACAAACGCATGAACTGACAACAGACATGCTCATTTTCACCTGAGTAAAGTGCCTTTCCCAAGGGAACAAGATCGGTGGCATGGCAGGATTCGAACCCGGGACCCCTTGGTCCGGGCCAAACACTCTGTCATTACGCATACGCCACACAACCCAACACTGTTAAATGATGGCCATCCCGAGGGCTGTTTTCCAAGGCGAGGGGGTGGAGAGAATGTAGTGAGTAGGCCGCAGTCATAACTCTGTTTCTAATTATAACCCGACGCCCCCGTCTTTACTGATTGTTATAGCCAGAACAGGTGCACAAATAACAGACTCTTAAGTACTCTCGAAGAAGATGTTCTTTAGTTCTTAACAGCTACTTGCAGACAGGAAGTGAGAAGAATGTACATGAGACTGGGTGAAGTCATACCATAACTCCACTAACTTTCTATTTTTAACCCGACGCCCCCGACTTTTCTGATTGTTCTACCAGTAATGTTTATTTTAGCCGGCTGAGTTACAGAATGACTCCACTCTGGGGTTTTTAGGACGATAGTTTTGTTTGCATATCGTCTGAATTCTAGCCCACGCACTACAGCCCATAGCATGACTTATAAGCACATGTAATGGGAATATATCTTTACATTCGAAATCTAGAAACGTTTCTGTGATTTATATAGCACCATTAGGAGCGTCTATCAGTGTTTTCTGTGTTGTTTTATTCTCTTTACAGTGTATATTGTGGTCTGTTTACAAGGGCTCTGTACCTAGAATCTAGGTCACAATTAATGTGTAGTCTAATGTGTATTAATATTGTTAGATAATTATTGTATTTAAGTTATGTTCCAATACATATTGAGCTCTGACCTCCAAAATACGGACTTGATATCTATTTTTTGTAGTCTGTTCTGTAGTTATAAGTCCTGTATCTGTGTGTGTACTAGTGTATTGTATTGTATTGTATTGTATTATATGTAACTGTTACATGCTGTGTTTGTATGTATGTATGTAAGCAAGAAAGCGTATAGTAAAGAACTATTCTTATTCTTCTTCTTTAACGGATATAATAAAACAAACATATGAAAGAGTACTCCCTACATCTGCTTGAAAATCGCCAGTACAACTCTCAGGTCAGTTCCTGTCTTATCAGCGCCGCCATCTTGTTGACCTCTGCTTATCTTTCCCGCCATGTTTGTGACCTCTAAAACAGGTCTGTCTTATCTACGCGCCATGGCGTGACCTTGAGAGATTGGAGATTTCCGCCAAGGTCGCTCCCAACATGGCGACTTTTGTTGGTGTGAGAAGATAGAACCAACCTTTCCTGTTTCACACCCGTTTTGGGAGATCATTCTTTCCTGTTTTGATGTATTGTTTTGATAAACTTTTTTTGATAAGGTGAACTTCATTGTTTATGGCCTTTACCCAACTTCAAATTCCGCAAAAGCCCGGCATGTGCCGGCTTGTCGTATACGTCGCTATTTACTACTGCAAATTCATAATACCAGCTTTGTATTCCTGTGGTTAAGCAGCATTTCTTTGCTGGAATTTTTCATTTACCCGCGTGCACTAGTTTGGGAGTCTTCAGAAAATGTCATCCATAAAATTAAGTCAGTGTGGGCTTAGATAACAAGTGTTTTAATAATCGACTCTCAGAGATGGCAGACTTCACCCCCTTACCCGTATTGCCTTAAGACCATTTCAGTCGCACAATCGAAAAAAAATAACTGTGGGTATGTTACAACGCTGCATTGTGCAATTACACACAGACAGGCAGACACCCACACAGAGACACACACGGCAAAAACAATACTTTACTTCCTCGGGGAAGAAGTGACGAATGACAATGACTAATATCATTAAAGTATTTAATCAGTCAGCCTTTATCACGAAATTTAAAAGATTCGTATTCTCTTATTGTTACTTTTTTGTCTTGATACATAAATATTAGACTGGAGAACTTAAAACCTTCTTGAGCGGAGTAAACTGAAACTCGAAAACAAGTCTGATGATAACATCCCTGAGTCAGAACACCCACATAGACAACCATAACAAAGACTCGGGCAGACGGATAGACATGTAAACATTAACCTCCAGCAGACCTTCCTACGGGGTTACGGATAGTCGTTAGTACGGGAATACGGATCATAGAATTTGGCAAAAAAAAGAGAGTAAAATGGGCCAAGGGCGTCCGGCCGCGGGGAGGTAGTTTCTTTCCCTCCGAACTGCGCGGCCAGTCAAACCTACAAGGCGGCCAAACTCCCCTGGCAAATATTCTTCTATATATAGCGAGCGTAGTAAGTCTGGTAGACACTAAGCCACTAATACTAATCTGATGACTGATCGATTCTTTAAATTACTTCCATGTTATGTAATACGTTTTATCTGCAGTTGTTTTGGGAACGCTAAAGAAACCACCGGCTTTGAACTGTTTGTTTAGTTCAATCTTTCCATCTTACCCTCTACCAGACCTGCCTAAGCTAAGGGGTTTTAGATAGCAGAATTTGTTTTAACAGGCCAGGATTAATAATTGGCCAGGGGAGTGAGTTCGTGGCTGGTTTGGTTTTCCTTTAATGCCCACGATCATGATAATGATCATTCTGGCGTACTCATTTACACCTGAGCGAAGTGAGGAAAGTCGTGTAAAGTGCCTTTCCCAAGGGCACAAGGCTGGTAACTTGGGAGGATTCGAACCCGGGACCTCTTGGTCCTGAGCAGAGCTCTACCGTTACGCTACACAACCCCACACGGTGAGGGCTACCCTAGGTGCCAAACTAGGCCACCAAACTAGTACCGGGCCGTTAGCCGTTCCCTTCGGCAGCCAAGAGCACTTCGCCCGCCTGTCTAAAATTACCGCTATTGGGGAGTCTATATATAGCTAGTCCGGCTCAACTCCCCCGTAGCGATAATTTAGACCCGCGGGTGAAGGGCTCTCGGCTGCCGAACGAAAACCGCTAACGGCCCGGTACTAGTTTGGCACCCAGGGTAGGTGAGGGTAACATTTTTCCCCAACGCGGTCGAATGAAACCCTATGGAAGGCCTGGTGAAGTCTGGCGTAACTAGGCCAAATATCGGCCTGCGTTTTGTCAAGACTCATCTTCGACAAACAAGATGAGACATCACGGATATAAACCAAACATCAGTCTCAGAAACGGGACCTGTAGCTGAAGCTGCCATTCTTACCAGTGTTGCGTCTTCAGATTGCTACAATGTATCGATACGTCTGTCCCTTCTGTATTTCAACACTGACTCATTGTAGCAATCAGAGAACAGAAAAACAAAACCGTAACGATTACATCACAACGAAGAAACAACTTCCACCGATACGCCTACATACACAGTGAGACTTCTCTAAAAACAATCCGCTATCTGATGATCTCTGATGTGTCAAACTCAAACTATTCCTCAAGAACTGAAACTTCAAACTTAAGAAACAAAGGTGCCTTACCTTGTCCGAAGCACAGACTTAAGGCGCCGAGCAGGAACACACGTGCGAACAGGTGTGCCAAGACGTTAGCCATCGCTTCTTGAAGGTTTCTTGCCGTCTGCGAAGTCTTGGCTTGCACTGTGCCTTGCACGAGCTAACTAAGACGCGACTAGTGTAAAGTGCTCACAACAGGAAGTCACTCAGTCAGGCCCAGCCTTAAGGCATGCCCAAATATGGCGGTGGGCGTGACGTCAGAGCGGACCGTACCAAAACCGTGCGCGCCGTGGGGGTGGCGTGTTTACAGAAGGAAATAATACTGTCCCCTCAAAGCAGATGTGGGAAGGTTTTCAGCATTTGGTCTGCGACGCGCGGTTTAGAGTAAAAGCGCCGTAAAAAGACGTAAAAAAATTTGCTTCTTCTTGGAGACTACTAAGGCTAAGGATAATACTAACTAGAAAAGTAACGTTTGCAAAGCAAATGCATAACGTTTACCTTCGCATATGGTCTGCTCTGTTAATTCTTACTCAAACTTTTGCTATTTTTATATTCGTAACTTGTTAGGTCCAGTATATTGTATTGACTTGTCCTGTGTTGTGTTGTATGTATCAGTGGCAGCCGCCACCAACCATCTGGCTGCCTGGCTCCCACTTGTAATGCGTTGTTGGCATCACCAATAAATGAAATGAAAATGAAATGAAAACATATTCACATATATGGTGACAGAAGTCTAAATCCCTCCTAATATAAAATTGCAACATGATGTAACCCAACACCAGTTACCATGGTGAGGGACAGTCTAGTCATTGACAAGGTCGGAGGTAAGTGCTTGGAACAGAAGAAGAAGAGGAAACAGAGCAAAAACAATATGTTTTCCTTCGGTAAACATAATTACTAAAGACAAAGAAAGCCCAGTGCAGCATACTGTGTTTTCTTTATTCGCTCTTTATATACTTCAATTTACAAAAATACATTGCACGTCTTCTGGTTATATAGATATAAAATTCATAGAAAAATTCCCTGAAATTTAAATGTATCAATTTCGTTCAAAATTTACATCTTGCTTTGGCAACATTTCATCAGTTATGGCGCTGGGCGTTGAGAAGTTAGCTGTATGTTTCTCGTCAGGTTGCATGCCAGGAATTTGAACTTTTAAAAACAAGACAGCATCTTTCTCCCTTTTCTCAAAAGTTTCAAAATCCTGTCCCAAGAGCAAATTAACGAGAGACACAAATATGACTTCCCAAGGCCCATCACGTGACTTGCACAGTGTGACGTCATTCCGCGCATGCTCAGACGTCGGGTCCGCCGCCACAGTCCATGAAGCTCAGGTAGTTCAGAGTGTCTGAGTTGGACGGAATCATGTTGATCTTGTCCTTGGTGGAGCTGGGGAAAGGTCAGAGGTGAAGGTCATGAGGTCAAAATGTGAAGGTCATAAGGTCAAATGTGAAGGTCATGAGGTCAAATGTGAAGGTCATGAGGTCAAATGTGAAGGTCGTCGGAAAAAATGTTCAAGGTTAAAACTACGATTCCAAGAAGATTACAAGTTAATTAAATGCAAATTGTCACCGGTACGTCGATGATGACGTCACATTAATAGGCTTAGTATCCTAGCAACCTTGTCACGTGACTTACGTGTTCTGCAGGAAGTCCTTGACCTCCTTGGGTGACGGGACGGTGGACTGGCGGCTCAGGTACTTGGCAACAATCCCGGCCTGCAGGGTGGATACAAATGTGGCAAATACGTGACGTTCTATAGAAGAATGTGGCAAAAGGCTTTGTAGAACCGGAAGGAAATGTGACATCGTACCATATATATCTAAAATAGATAATGAATATATTGAACAGTTATACTTACGATATGAGGGGCAGACATGGAAGTGCCTACGGGAAAGAAAAAAGTGTCAGGACATCAGAAATGATGAACTCCTTGAATAGATTTAATATCCAAACGTTCCATAAAGGAGAATAACTTATTGTAACGACAGCTTAGAAATGATGGGAAACGTAGTGAGGATTAGTACAGGCTGGTGGTGATCAATGATCAACAACTTGATATCGTAATTCATTAATAGAATACGAAACGACACATACGTAGGATTACAGCAACTGGCTCTAGATCTGCAGTTCTAGAAAAAGACGCAAGGCGTCGTTGTGGTACTAGCTGCTGGCAGCGAGGGCGGAACACGGCTTGGCGTTTCCCCGACAGCGATTTTTACAAACCAATCTCTTAAATGTGACATTTAACGCGCGTGCGCCAACCTGAGATGGTGTTGTCGGCAAACTGCCCGCCGATCCAGGCGGAAGTGACGTCCATACCCTACCGGAAATGACGTAAAAATTTAGATTAGAACAAACACCAGATCATATCGGCTAATCGGTACCTTAGAGTATAATCGACATCACCTTATGGAATCATAATGATTAGTAGACTGACCCAGTAAGGCTTGTCACGTGGCTTCTTTGAAGTGTGCCTCACTGGGTCAGTCTACTGAGGAAGACCAGAGTGACTGGTCAAAAGCTCTAGGTGAGAACCGTTCTTTGTGTTGGAACATAAGTTTTGACTCTAAACATGTAATTACCAACATAGATGAACTTTCACGTTTGTTTGTTTGTTTGTTTGTTTGTTTATAAGATGATGCATGTTTACCGGTGCAATGATGTCCATGCAGGTTCCGTAGTTGGAGAAGAAGCAGAAATCGTCCTCGTTGTCAGAACAGCCCACCGTCACTCTGCAGGGAAACACATAATTTAACTTTGTGGGGTCGTGTGGCGTAGCGGCAAAGTGCTCGACCCTGAACCAAGAGGTCCCGATTTCGAGTCCTGACATGCCACCGATCATGTGCCCTTGGGAAAGGTACTTAAAACGACTTTCCTCACTTCGCTCAGGTGAAAATGAGTATTGTATTGTCCTCTGTGTTGGTGGCGGCATTAATACAAGTTAAAGAAACTTAAGTGTGCCGTCACCACGTCTGGTGATTATATGTTAGAATATAAAAACAACGTACGCTGTGGGCTCGCTAGCGGGAGAAACGTTACACGCCTCCCAGCCCTCGTTACCAGCAGCCACCACCATAATCACGCCCTGCGGGGGGAAGGCAAAAAATCGTAACAGTTACAGTCATTACAGGGTTCAAAAAGTACAAACGTACTGATCTATAATACATGTGTAGCTGTAGACCGTCTGGCAAGACGGAGAGGGCCCAAGGAAGGAAAGGGTCCAACAGTGGTATCATCAGATCGTCTCTTTTTACGAAATATTGACAGGTGAAATAAAACGTAAACCTTGAAACTACAAGTACAATGAAAGGTCCATAAAATTACCAGTTCGACCAATAAAAGAATACATGGAAGCTAGCTGCGTGCGACCGTTGCTTTGTTGACCAAATTTTTATGAACTGTTCCATGTGTATCTGGATTTGGTATGTGAAACTTCTTAGTCATACGCACCGCCTCCACAACAGCCTTCACAGCCTCGTTCATGGCATCGGAACGACCGCCGCCTAGCGACATGCTGCGAACGACAGCATTCCAGACAGTCAATAAGTGTTTAATACAACTCTTGAAAAAAACCGTCAAAAATTAGCAATAAAAGAAAAAACAATAATAAATAAACAACTTAACGCAAATCTAGGCTTAATGTTTTTTTATACTACTTCTAAGTAGTGATCGGAGATCTCCTGAGAAAGAACGTCAGCAAGTAGACATAAAACAAACAAACAAACAAACAAACATCTCACTTTGCCACAGACTTCTTGTTGTTGCCCTGATGTTGCTCACCGGTCCACTCCACGCCCTCAATAACTCCGCTGGGGAAAAGAAATTTGATATAGAAATGAGTTAAATGTGTGAGAGAGGGAGAGAAAGAGAGTCAGAGAGAGAGGGGGAGGGAGAGAGAGAAAGTGATCTAGAGAAAGGGAGAAAGGAAGAGAGAGTGAGTAAGGGAGAGAGAGAGGGAGTAAGGGAGAGAGAGAAGGGGGAGAGATATAGGGAGAGAGAGCTCTAGAGAGGGAGAGAGGAGAGAGAGGAGGGAGGGAGAGAGAGATCTAGAGGGACAGAGAGAGGGAGAGAGAGAGATCTAGAGAGAGGAGAGAGAGGGAGACAAAGTTAAACTCACGCAGTGGACCCCGACCCGCTCCTGCTGAGCACCTTCACTGCGATGGCGGTCGCCTTCTTGGCCAGACCCCAGGCGTCAGACATCACCGTCCCTACAGAGGACAGACATGTAGAGTCCAACGCGAACCTATTATACACCCATTTCTTCTTGTACTAGCCTGGGTGCTATCCTCCGAAGTTTCTGACCGCTCGCTCGCCCGTTCCCTAGCTAGCGATCGACATAAGCTAGGGAACTGGCAAAAACTACGTAGGATAGCACTCAGGCTATTCTTGTACAGGGGAAGGAGACAAATGTAGGATCCAATACGAGCGATCGCCATTTCGGGCGACATTTGGCTGATTTGCCTACCAACAATTTGCATATGTCTGCAAATAATTTGTATGGGCCCTTGTCGTATGTACATATGATGTAAACACAAACAGCGGTCGCTCCTATGCAGTCTATCATACAATATGCCCCAGTATCTTGGCCATCTTTTTGTTTTAACAAACTTAAAAGTTTCCTAATTACCTTTAAAAAGTTAACACACAGTGTCAGAGTTTGTCCGTACTTACCGGCTACGTGAGTTCCGTGTCCGTTCTCGTCCGTTTCCGGGCTGGGCGTGTCCACCGTGTCAACGCCCTAGCAACGGAAGTGACGTCAACATACGTCATTATAGAAAGTCTCAATGTCGTTCAATATTCATGTACCATGTTGCCGCGTATGCTATCTTCTTTTTTCCTTGTTATTATTCAAAGAAGAACTATAGCTAACTTAGTACCGTTACAAAAATTTGTTTGTTTGTTTCTTTGCTTGTTTGTTTGTTTGTTTGTTTGCTTATTTGTCTTATTCAGAGGAACAAACATCAGTATTTACATGTAGTGAACACTATTTTTCCTAGAGTCTAAGTACATATGTACCAGTAGCAGGTAACTTACCCATTTTGCTCTGCCGCCAAACTCGCTGTGCTCAGTGTAAATACCACTGTAGGAGAAAATACCCATATTAATCATAAAGTTCTATCATTCTGTATCTCATTTTAAAACTTTATTATGGAATCAAAATTACTGTCACTAATCATCTGACTTTGTAACTTAATGATGCAACCAACGTAACGTTAACCTTGGAGTCTCTAAATTGTAATGACTTTACATTAACGTTGCAAGGTACAATTTTTTTTACTACGGTCATACAGAACACGGAAGTTCTTACGTGTCGATGATGTAAGCATCAACACCCTCTCCGTCTCCGCCTGGAGTAAACAAGGAGAGATTGTTTGTTTGTTTGTTTGTTTGTTTGTTCTCTGTATCTGTATAGCCGGTATAACCGCCCTTCGGCGTAACACACCATCTTCTGTATCTGTATAGCCGGTATAACCACCCTTCGGCGTAACACACCAGCTTAAGAAATAGAGTTTGTTTGTTTGTTTGTTTGTTTGTTTGTTTGTTTGTTTGTTTGATTTTTATCCTACTTGATTTCCCTAGAAAGTGGTCAGCTGTTAAATCTTACGACTTAATCTTTCTATACGAAATGTCAAACAGGAATAAAGTTTCTGTGACAAGAAGAACAATTACAGATCACATCATCATTGCAAATAAAATGGTATAGTCCAATTCTTACATTTCCGCCATTGCTTTGACCTTACTGACCTTGGTAGTGGTAGATTCCGTCCAACAGAAGGTCACGTTCGACTGTCCTGACCAGGCCCTGTAAAGATAGCCAATCAGAGATCAGTATGGTCGATATGCGACTTTTCATTGGTCAATTGCTTGCCTCTGTTGTCATTGGATGTTTTAGTTAGAACGAATTCGTTCGAAGTAATATGATACGATGTTGCCATTGGTACAGAATTTGAATGAGCCAATAGCAGCCGCCCTACTGACCCAGGTGGCCTCCAATTGGTCCTGGCACTGCGCCTGGTAGGCCTTCATCACCTGATTGGCCTCGATGTACCGCACTTCCGGCTGCTCCGCAAGGTGGTGTATCATCCTAAAAATGTAGAAATGCGCTTTTACACATGTAAATATAATATCCAAAAGTACTGAGATTACACAAAATGTTGATTTTTTACAAGTCGTACAAAAGTTGGTAAAATGCAGCAAAATTATATATATAATACAACAAATCCTCCCATACATTCCTGATAGATTATTCTGAACGCTGCTGCTTAAGAAGAGATTTTAGAGTATTTGAACATGGTTCTGGACTTTTACTTTGACTTTTTGGGATCCACATTTAGCATGCATGTAACGTTACAAGACAGCAGCTACTCTTCCTGTGTTCAGTTCTAACACACAACACAAGACGGGGAAATGTATAAAACATAAATACATTGACAACATAGCGAAATGGTTCTGAATAAAGCACAGTTCTGGATAAAGCCATTACTACTTGCTTCATGTTAGTACGGATGGAGTAGGCCTTGAACCAGCGGAAGTTGTGCTCGAACAGAATCTTGGTGTCGTTTGTTCCGGTCAGGAGCGTCTTCACGTTGTTCATGTGCTTACCCACTGGGATGACATACGAAAACAACAATTAGAAAGATATATTTACCTTCGCATGGTCAAGCCTACTGCTCTGTTTATTGTTACCCAAACACATTTATGTATAATATAGTGTAGGGTGAGCAGCCACTCTAGCTGTGTGCTGTTACATAATGTAACCCAACACCACAGGGTGTTTACTACAATGCTAGTTACCATGGTGACAGACGTCTGCTCCAGGTCATTGACTTTATCTGTTTGGAGAAGAAGGAGAGGAAGAAACAGGGCAAAAACAATGTTTTCCTTCTGCGAAGGTAAACATAATTAATCCATGAATTCAATTGATACAAATGATACAAACTACCGAATCGGCAGCACTAGATGGCTTCTCCACACCCTTGATGAGTAAATAAACAAACAGCTAGAGTGGCTGCTCATGTGGGGTCGTGTGGCGCAGTCGGTAGCGCGTTCGGCTCACACCCCAGAGGTTGTGGGTTCGAACCCTGCCCATGTCACCGATCTTGTGCCCTTGGGAAAGGCACTTTACACGACTTTCCTCACTTCACTCAGGTGAAAATGAGTACCTAGCTTCAGTTAGGGACGTCCCTCGGATAGGACGTTAAATGGAGGTCCCGTGTTTGGGAGAGCCACACCCCATGCACGTTAAAGAACCCACCGCACTTATCGAAAAGAGTAGGGGATCTTCCCGGTGTGAGTGGTTCAAAACTTACAGTCCGGTCTTACGCAGCTTGTACATGTGCGCACATGTACAAAACTGGTGTGTTACGCCTGAAGTATGCGAAACAAACAAAACAAAAACAAAAAAAAAATAAATAAACAAAGAAACCTGCGTAGTCCGTGAGGTTCTTGTGCAGCACCACGATGTACTCATTCGGGATGGCGGTTTTGGAGTCCATACGGAGCAGGGGAGCTGGGGAAAATATAATAACAAGAAATTAGAGATTCCAAACCTCCCGGTGTTGAGCCAAACCCTTAAGCTGCCAGATTATTTCATGAATTTCACACTTCCCATAATGCCTAGTGAAGATCACGGATATGACGTATGACCACCTCCTCCTTCCTCGATGTAATATATTTCCAACAAGTTCAATCGACAAACTGGTCAACTATATTGTTTTGAATTATTTCTCTAGTATAAAGCGCATGCCATAATTGCATTTTTGTTGGAATTAGAGAAAATGATGTACTTTTATCGTTTCATGGTATTTTTCCCACGCTCCTTGCCCACATAATCGACCTTGGCCTTGAAAGGGCAAAGTTTGCAGTACTTTTATGGTCTTCTGACTCTATGGTTATATGATGAGTTTTATCATGTTGACGGTTCAGTAATTATTATGTTATTATTGAATTCATGAATAATGATGATAACTTGTTTTTAAATTACAAACATCTAACGGAATTGGTGCAGAAATATTGTAAATTAGATGTGTCAATCTCTACAAAGTACGCAAAACAAATAGTACTAGACATGCAAAGTCAGCGGAAATTTGGACACGTTGAAGCATGTCAGTTTGCTAAAATTAGCACAAAACAAACACAATATAACAATAAAATTCATTGATCTTTTAACAATGGAATATAGATTTCTTTGCCAAGGACGTTTAGGAAAAACAAAGACTGTGGTAAACAACATGCATAAAGGTGTAAAGTCTGAGTTATGAACTCTTATCTAAAGCCTACAGATCATACCTGTATTGATAAGGACAGGGATCGTGGCATGTGATATTTATGTTTTCTTACAGAAGTCTTTTCGGACAGCATCAATGAAGAACATAAATTCTAACAGTCATAAAAGAAAATAACGTATGAATGTTTCCTATCATATTACGACAAACGTAACGTGAGGAAATAAATGAATATCTGTCATGAAAGTATATTGTTTGTGGGGTATAAAGTGGTATGAGATGGCCCCTGAAAAACAGCGAGCTTTGAACTGTTATTTGCACGATTCTGATTGCTTTACTGCTCTCGTCAGGTCATATGTTATGTCACGCGGTCCCACGTATTTACTGAAAAGGGCAATTCACACGGTCGGAAGTAGTCTCCACCAGACTCCTTTTGCAGGCTGACTAAATAGTAGAAATCGGCCTAAAAAGAGGATATAATTGGTCAGAGAAGATAGCCGGCCAGAGAAGCTCCATGTACTCCATGTACTGGCCAGCTACCTTCTCTGGCCAATTATATACCCTTTTTAGGCCGTTTTCTACTATTTAGTCAGCCTGCAAAAGGAGTCTGGTGGAGACTACATTTGTTTGTGAAATGGTGTAAAATAAGGACAGTGTGATATATGAGAAGTTGTATGCAGATAATATGGTTAAAGTTGGCTGATTTTACTTGATCTTGTAAACTTTAAGACATCCAAAAAGTTCATAAAATATCATTTCTTATTTCAGAAAATATTATTTCTAATTTCAATGATCGATATCAATTTGAAAAATATGTTACTGACTTTGAAAGAACTTATAAGACAAAAGTAAAAGCCATGGATCGACGGTTTTCACTTTCTTGAACGCAAAAATTGATCTCCATTTACAGAAAAATAGCCACAAATGTCTCAAATAACAGACAACAAACGTAACTATTAGACGACAATAAAATTGTGGTAATTTTTGTATAGAACAACGGACCGAAATCGTCTACAGGACAGGTGACAATACAACAGGTGAAAACAGGAAGTCTTTGAAGTGCCGACACAGGTAAGACAACAGGTAAGACTACCTGGGTGTCAAATAACCTGACATTGCAAGTCAGGGACTCAGATTTGCAGCTACCTAAACAAATAAACTCCTGTCTAAGTTTCTCACGTTTCATTTTCTTGGTTTTTGTAACAAAAAATGGTGCTTTGGTCTCGATATTTCACGTAAATTTTATACGTACGAAAGTTGTAGTCGTCTCCAGTTATGTGTATTAGTATTAAGATCACACAACGACCTGTAGGTGTCTCGGCTATTTTCTTGCGCAACTACAGCCTGCTCAAGGTACTAACATTTTCAGAAAGCTTGCCAATTTCTTAGCCTCCTTAGCAGGCTTATAGAACTGGGGGTTTGGTGGTCTTCGGCTGTTTTCTGATTAGCCCAGTTCTAAAAACGGAGGTAATACAACCAGGCCGGCTATGCTGCCTATATGCAATCAGAAAATAGCACATTAAAGCTCCCAAAGACCCTGAAGAGCCCCAAAACCCCCAGTTTTTTGGAGGCTAGCTAGTTACTGCAGTTACTGTTTTAAGCATACTTTGTACTACTACTAGTTTGCACTAGATACCCTGCAAAGAAACTACAAGAGCAAGCTGTCCTTATTTCCGTACACTTACTAATAGGCAGTCTTAACAGGTGGACTCTTGCGTAACCAAGGTGTACCGAAAACAAGACATTCTCAAGGAAAGTCTACACTCACCTGTTGCCATGGCAACGCCCAAGACTGCTGCCAAGACGGCCAAGACGCGGAGAGACTTCATGTTGGTTGCAGACGGTCGGCGAGAGACGTGTGACAGTCAGGCTGGGGACAGAGGCAGGACAGGGTCGCGTCGCCCACGGCGAGTCATGGGACCTGTGGTCACATGGGCAGGGTAAACAATAGGGGGCAGAGGGCATGTCTGTATAAACTATACGTAACAGGCTGCGCCAACTATTGTATCCAAAACCGTGCCTATCTAGTGCTATGCTTTACTGTTGCAGTGTACACTAGACATCGCAGGATTCATGTGCTGTGGTTTAATACGAATACCTGTAGTTAAAAAATATATATAGGAAATAGTAGCATATATGCATGTTTGTATAGACTCGAGATAGCAGGCTTCACGGGCTGTAAATAATAGGAGGCAGATCATTAGAGGGGCATGTCTGTGTAGACTAGAACAGGCTTCATGGGCTGTGTTTCATACAGGGTAAACAATAGGGGGCACAGGGCATGTCGACATAGACTAGACATACAGGCGTAGCGGGCCACCTTCGAATACAGCTGTAATTTACTAGTACTATAGGGGACAGAGGGACAGACTATACATAACAGTCTATGTAGACTAGAACAGGCTCCATAGGGTGTGTACTGCTGTGAACAATAGGGGCAGGGAAGTGGCTTGTCGTGATAGACTAGAACAGGCTTCGTGGGATGTGTTTTGATGCAGTTTTAAACAATAGGGGTAGAGGGGTATGTCGGCATAGACAATACATGACAGTCTGTGTAGACTAGAACAGGCTCCATAGGCTGTGTTTCTGTAAACAATAGGGGGGGGGCATGTGTGCAGATTATACACAACAGGATGTGCCATTGCTAATCTCCAAGCAGATTCTGTGGGGCAATGGGAGTATGTAACCATTTGCAGTGGCGTATTGGACACTGCCTGGCCAATTGGATACTGTGTTGCCAATTCGATACTGTATTGTAGCCACCAAGAGAATCTGCTTTTAGATTACGCTAAATGTTGTATCCAGAACCGTGCCTATCTAGTTCTGCGCCTGAATTTTTAGGGTTATGATCAGGCACGGTTCTGTCTTCTTACATACAAATGTAGTAATATGCAAAACTATGTACATAATCACTATCACGCAATTGAGAGCTCATCAAACAGTTCTTTATTTCGTTACCGTGAAAATACAATCAATTCAAAATTTAATAATTTTACATTTCAGTCAATGGTATAAAGACCTATGATGTTACAAACATTCTTGTTATTAGAATACAAATTTTACCATTTTTGCAATACAAAAATTATTTTTTTTCTGGAATGAGGCCACAGTATTGGTGACTGTTCTATACGCAGTCGCTTTGTTTGAAAATAGTGACTGTGCTATCCACAGTATCAGTGACCACCAGCTGTCCCTGTGGTGTCATGGCAACAGCATATGGACTTGTCATGTCTGTAGTGATGTGTTTGAGGAATTTTCCTGTCTTGTCGAACATCTCCACACGGCTGTTTCCCGTGTCTGCCACGATGATGTTCCCTGCCCTGTCTGTACAGATGCCGCGGGGATACACCAGCTGACCTTCACCACTTCCCTCATCTCCAAACTTGAACAGAAACTGTCCGTCTTCATTGTACACATACACACAGTGATTCTCACTGTCTGACACAAGAATGTTCCCTTCCCCGTCCACAGTGATGTACAGTGGGTACTTCATCCCCTGCTGCTGACCCACAGTTCTCACAAGTGTTCCATCTGACCTGAACACCAAAACTTCACCATGTGGGTTGAGGAAGTCACCTGTGGTTTGTGTGATGAGGATGTGGTTCCTCCTGGTGTCCACGGCAACTCCTCTGGCCCACCCTGTCTTCTGTAGGTCAATCTTCCTCAGCACCCTGCCCTGTTTGTTGTACTGCACAGCAAACTCAGCAGAGCCTATCCACGGCCACCTCATCTCCCCATGGCCCACCACCCACAGGTTCCCCTCCCCGTCCATGGCCACATCTGTTGGGCACATCTTCTGTTCACCTGAAACGACTGTTGGGAATTGTCTGACAAATGTTCCCTGCAGGGTGAAGACTTGGATTCTCCCATTTCCACAATCTGCCACGAAGATCTCTCCCTCTTCTGACACTGTCACTCCAAAAGGCCCGACAAACTGACCTGGTTCTGAACCTCTTCCACCAAACGTCAACTTCTGTATTGATGTCACAGGGCGGCTTGGGTTACCATGGTGATGACCCATGACCGCTGTGGCACCGCTTGATGCACTTGCATCTGGAACAGTTACCTTTCCCAGTGTACAGGAAAAGTTTAAGGTGGGCAGGAAGACAGCTGGGTGGGTTTCAAGTGGAATTGGCACTGACTTGTCTCTGAACTTTCCCACAACTTCCTCAAGTTGGGATTCGTGCCTGAGAAACTGCCCCACTTCTCTAGCCATATCCTGCTCCGCCCCATCACAGACAGAAGACAGTTCAGCGACACCAGCAAAAACTGCGTCTCTTTGTCTCTGTACGGCTTCTTTGTTTTGCCTGTGGTTCGTCTCAACTTCAGACAACAGACGGTCTTTTTCCTCGGTCAGTGTCTGAATGACTTGCTCACAGGCTTGTCTGTAAGTGGCCTCGATTTTGCTGTCCGTCTGTTGTTTCTGATCGTCCAGATTTTTCTCCTCCTCTCTGAGACCTCTGACGAAGCTACAGTAGGTCTCCAAGATGCCCCTCCCCTCAGTGATCAAGGCCTCTACTGGACCTCTATGCTGTTGGATGGCTGTTCTAAAGCTCATTATTAGATGTTCATCATGGCTTTCTTCGAAACACTCATGACAAAGTAGCACTTGGCACTGTTTACAGTACTGCCTGACTTCTTCTGCGGGGTGGAAGCTGCACTTGTTTCCAGACTGGGGTTGCTCCCTTCTTTCCTCTGATAGTGTAGCTTGTTGTTGGAACCTCTCGCACATGCTGGCCACAATACGATTGTCAGGTAAACCAGCGACCCCTTGCCTCGGCAGCTTGACTTGTTGGCGACAGTTTGGGCACTGGAAGGGCGCGCGCCTGCTTGCATGGTCCTGTAGACAGTCCTGACAGAAGGTGTGTCCGCATAGCAGCATCTTGGGCCTGGTGAACAGCTCCAGGCAGATGCTGCAGGACAGTTCTTCGCTAAATTGTGTCCCCAAACTAGACGGTGCAGCCGCCATTATGAATTTGTTTCCTGCTTATGTGGCAGCCCCGTCTCAAAACAAAGTCCAAGTGGCGACATTTTTGACCCCTGATTGTGCAATATACCTGGTGGTACGTGGGCGAGACGGTGTTACAAAGGTCTATATTGTGACGGCATTACGACAAGAAAAGAACCAGAAAAATATTAATATTCCTGACCGATAAGCAGCACTACTTTTGTCCCATCACCAGTAAATAAATATGAATAGACTAGACAAGACTTCTTTTCGGGCTTTTGAAGGGGGGAAACTGGCCTCTACCAGGCTTCGGGAGGCGGCTGGAAATAGTAGATACCGGCCAAATACAGAGATAGCATCATCGGCCAGGGGAGTTGGTCTGCTGGAGAGTACAGTTTGCCGCACCCGAAACTGTTCTCTCCAGCAGGCCAAGTCCCCTGGTATGCTATCTCTCCGATTTGGCCGATTTCTACTCTTTGCAGCCGCCTCCCGAAGCCTGATAGAGGCTAGGGGGGAACGAACATGGCCCGGGCATGTACTGAGGTAGGCATCAGTCATGATCCCTGTGGATCACATGGGGGTAAACACTAGCAGCACAAGAGTCATGTCAACATAGCCTCAACAGTACGACCACTAGAAGGTCTATATGAGTATTAAGGACATAGCGGTAGAGGGGTTTGCCACCATAGACATGTAGGCATCGGTTATCAGTGTGGATCACATGGGGAAGGTAAACACAAGGAGCACAAGAGTCATGTCAATATAGCCTCAAAAGCGCGACCGCTAGAGGGTCTGTATAAGAGACTTGAGATGCAGCTCATTCTTTCCTAGAACTATCGCAGAATGGAACTCACTGTCATCAAATACAGTAGGGGCATTGTCATTAGTGTGAAACAATGTTTAGAGTTAGATGTTCATGGGTTAGGTGTAACAAGTCGCCGCGCCGCGTGCCTGCGAAGCTGGTATGTTACGCCGAAGGGCAGTTATACCGGCTATACAGATACAGACGCTGGTATGTTACGCCGAAGGGCAGTTATACCGGCTATACAGATACAGAAGCTGGTATGTTACGCCGAAGGGCGGTTATACCGGCTATACAGATACAGATACAGATATTAAGGACATAGGGACAGAGGGTTATGCCACCATAGACCACATAACAGTCTCCACGGTCTGTGTTTCAATAATACAACTGTTATCAATAGAGGCAGTGGTCATGTGGACATTAGCCTCCAAGATTGCAAATTCATTTAAAAAAAACTCCACCTAATAATTGATACTAAAGCTAACTGGGGAGGTTCAGTAGTATTGGGTTCATTACTAGGGGTCATTAGTAGATCCAGGTAACTACAGGTACCGTAGGGACGGTTCGTTACAGGTACAGGTGGGATCACATGGGGAAGGTAAACACTAGGAACACAAGATTCATGTCAAGAAAACCTCACAAGCGCGACCGCTAAAAGGTCTCCATAAGTATTAAGGACATAGGGGCAGAGGGGTTTACCACCATAGAAGACATGACAAGTCTCCACAGGCTGTGTTTTAGTCATACAGCTGTTGACAATAGAGGCAATGGTCATGTGGATATTAGCCTCCAAGTTTACAAATAGATGAAAAACTCCAATAACTGAGACCAAGGCAAGTGCAGGTAGGGACGTTTCATTACTAGGGAGGGGGGTCATTAGATACAGCTGTTAACAATAGAGACAATGGTCATGTGGACATTAGCCTACAAGATTGCAAATACATACAAAATGTACTAGTAAAAAAAAACTCCACCTTATAACTGAGACAGAGGTAAGTACAGGTAGGGACGGTTCGTTACTAGGGAGAGGGGGTCATTACATACAGCTGTTAACAATAGAGGCAATGGTCATGTGGATATAAGCCTCCAAGACTGCAAATATATACTAGTAAAAACACTCCACCTAATAACTGAAACCAAGGTAAGTACAGGTAGGGACGTTTCATTACTAGGGATGTGGGGGGGGGGTTAGATACAGCTGATAACAATAGAGGCAATGGTTGCAAATATGTGAAAGAAAAACGCCACCCAATGACTGATACTGAGGCTATAGGAATTAGCCTGGTATCCAGCCTTGTTAGCTTTAGTCCGCTACCCAAGCTAACAAGGCTGGATACCAGGCTAACAGGAATGGGATGTCATACAGTGGCCGGGTAAGAACAGGTAGGAAGGGGCTGTTCATTACTATGGGTTCTTTAGTAAAGGATGTCAGATATGCCAAACATTGATATTGACCAGGTATATGTAAGTACAGGTAGGGTCTGTTTATTACTATCATTTGCTGCTTAATATCTCTCATGTTTTTCTTTATTTTCAGACAGCTCGCCTATCATATTTGTCGGTATGTCTTCTTACGTACAAATGTTCTAATATGCAAAACTATGTACATAATCACTTTCACACAATTGATAGCTGATCAAACAGTTCTTTATTTCCCTAGCAGGAAAATACAATCAATACAAATTTTTAATAATTTCACATTTTAGTCAATGGTACAAAAATCGGTATAAATGGCATAAATACCTATTATGTTACAGTTGTTATTATTAGAATACAAATTTGCAATTTTTGTAATACAAAAATTATCATTTCTAACATGAGGCTATACATTTGTATGGTTAAATGTTCTATCCACAGTCGCTTTGTTTGAAAATAGTGACTGTGTCATCTTCAACATCAGTGACCACCAGCTGTCCCTGTGGTGCCATGGCAACAGCACGTGGACCTGTCATGTCTGTAGCAATGTGTTTGAGGAATCTGCCTGTCTTGTCAAACATCTCCACACGGCCGTTCCAGCTGTCTGCCACGATGATGTTCCCTGCCCTGTCTGTACAGATGCCACGGGGATCCTTCAGCCGACCCACACCACTTTCCTCACCTCCAAACTTGAACAGAAACTGTCCGTCCTCCCTGTACACATAGACACAGTTATTGCCCCTGTCTGACACAAGAATGTTCCCTTCCCCGTCCACAGTGATGTACTGTGGGTACTCCATCCCCTGCTGCTGACCCACAGTTCTCACAAGTGTTCCATCTGGCCTGAACACCAAAACTTCAGCATGTTTGTTGCCCCAGCCTCCTGCGGTTTGTGTGATGAGGATGTGGTTCCTCCTGGTGTCCACGGCAACTCCTCTGTACCACCCTGTCACCTGTACGTCAATCGTCCTCAGCACCCTGCCCTGTTTGTTGTACTGTACAGCAAAGTCAGCAGAGTCTGTGTACCACACAACCCACAGGTTCCCCTCCCCGTCCAGGGCCACATCTGTTGGGAACATCTCCTCTTCATCAGACACGACTGTTGGGAACTGTCGAACAAATGTTCCCTGCAGGGTGAAGACTTGGATTCTCCAATTACCGTGTTCTGCCACGAAGATCTCCCCCTCTTCTGACACTGTCACTCCAACAGGATCGTCGAACTGACCCGGTTCTGAACCCCCTTCACCAAACGTCAACCTCTGTATTGAGGACACAGTGTGGCTTGGGTTACCATGGTGATGACCTATGGCCGCTGTGGCGCCGCTTGATGCAGTTGCACCTGGAACAGTTACCTTTCCCAGTGTACAGGTAAAGTTCTCGGTAGGCTGGAAGACATCAGGGTGTATTTCAAGTGGAATTGGCTCTGACTTTTCTTTGAACTTCCCTACGACGTCGGCTAGTCTGGATTCGTGCCTGAGAAACTGCCCCACTTCTCTATCCATGTCCTGCTCCGTCCCGTCACAGACAGAAGACAGTTCAGCAACATCAGCCAAAACTGCGTCTCTTTGTCTCTGTACGGCTTCTTTGTTTTGCCTGTGGTTCGTCTCAACTTCAGACAACAGACGGTCTTTTTCCTCGGTCAGCATTTGGTAGATTTGATTACAGGCTTCTCTGTAGGCCTCCTGGATTTTGCTGTCCGCCTCTTGTTTCTGATCATCCAGGCTTTTCTCCTCCTCTCTGAGACCTCTGACGAAGCTACAGTAGGTCTCCAAGATGCCCCTCCCCTCAGTGATCAAGGCCTCTACTGGACCTCTGTGCTGTTGGATGGCTGTTCTATAGCTCATTATAGGATGTTCATCATGGCTTTCTTCGAAACACTCATGACAAAGTAGCACTTGGCACTGTTTACAGTACTGCCTGACTTCTTCTGCGGGGTGGAAGCTGCACTTGTTTCCAGACTGGGGTTGCTCCCTTCTTTCCTCTGATAGTGTAGCTTGTTGTTGGAACCTCTCGCACATGTTGGCCACGATACGATTGTCAGGTAAACCAGCGACCCCTTGCCTCGGCAGCCTGACTTGTTGGCGACAGTTTGGGCACTGGAAGGGCGCGCGCCTGCTTGCATGGTCCTGTAGACAGTCCTGACAGAAGGTGTGTCCGCATAGCAGCATCTTGGGCCTGGTGAACAGCTCCAGGCAGATGCTGCAGGACAATTCTTCGCTAAACTGTGTCCCCAAACTCGACGGTGCAGCCGCCATTGTGGTTGTTCTTACCAGCTTATGTGGCAGCCTCGCCCCACATCAAAGTCCACTATAGGCTTGTCACATGCTTCTTTCCTGACTGTGCGATATACATGGGTCAAAAGTGGACGGTGTTTCAAAGGTCTAATATTGGTATTTTGTAACGGTATGAGCGTACAGTTAGATTGAAATGCTTTATAGGGTACCTATAGCTAGTGCAGAAGTATTGGTAAAACTTATCTTTTGACTGGAATGATACGGACTATGATTATGCCTTATGATTTTGACTATTTGTTTTAGTTGACATGTCCTGTTTCCAATGATTGACTACTTGTACTCTTTGTTCATATTATTTATTATCTCTATGTTTAAGTAATTGACTGTCTACATGTATGTCCTTTGTAACTTGTTCTGTATTATGTTGGGCTACCTTGGGCTACCTTGTAATCCTTGGCTGGTTGGTTGGTTGGTTGGTTGGTTGGTTGGTTGGTTGGTTGGTTGGTTGGTTATCCTTTATTATGGAAATTATGTGTCGATTGCAGCAAGCTTAGCTCATGGGGAACATTAACGTATGTCACTTCTGTACGTTGACCTTGTAGAATATTCAGAAACATGTCTATCTATTGCTATGCCTGAATGGTTCTGGATTGTCTCTGCGTATCCAAGAACGTAGCTCTCCAACAGGCCCAGTTCTGGATACGCGTGGACTATATATCCAGGAACCGTATCTGGGCATGGATCTGCAAAATAGCTTCTGGATTTTTATGCTTTTTTGCTAACATTTTGCTTGTATTTCTGAGCATAGATCTGGATAGAGTACGGTTCTGGATACAACATTTTGCTTGTATTTCTATTTTCCATCCAATAATACCACTGTAGTCTTACCACCAACCTTAAAATTATGCGCTTTGCATCGCCGGATGTCCCAACACCGTGTTGTGCCCGTATGAAGTTTAGTGTACAAACAAGTAAATTGGTGTCTTTAAAAATGTGAAAGATGACAAAGTGAGTGACAAGATACACTGATCAATGCCCCACATTTTATTATCATCACACACATCTAAAACATACACCAATATGGATAGAATCTTGATGAAATTATCACTTATAAGAGGTTAAGACACAATTTAGTGCAATTATTCATCTGCAGCTATCCTCTGATGATAATGATGATGATGATGATAATGATGAAGGGAAAGGTGATGATGATGATGATGATGGGGATGACGATGGGTGATGGGGATGATGAAGATGATGGAATGATGATGATGTCTACTCATGCCTTAATCTGCTGCCTTCTTGTGATGATGATGATGGTGGTGAAGATGATGATGATGGTGATGATGATAATGATGATGGGGTGATGGAGATGATGATGTGGATGATGGTGATGATGATGATGCCACTCATGCCTTCATCTGCTGCCTTCTTGGGATGATAGGGTGATGGGGAGGATGATGGATAATGATGATGATAATGGGGAAGATGGTTACAGGGATGGTAGTGATGCTATCACTGTTGATCATCAGCCTTCCTCTTCTACTGATGATGCTGATGATGCTGATGGTGAGCTTCCAGCTCGCTGACCTCGCGCTCCAGCTCCATCAGTTCCTCCATCTCACTCATCTCGCGCTTCCCTGTAACAAGGAAAAGATGAGAGTTATTATGTTTACGTGTTATTATGTCTGATCTTTGCCAATGCTCCTACACTTTTAGACTCACTCACTCACTCACTCACTCACTCTCTCTCTCTCTGTCTCTCTCTCTCTCACACACTCACACAGACATACACACTCACATACACTCACACACACACTCACTCAAACACCCACACACACACACAAACACAGAGAGAAAGAGAGAGAGAGAGACTGAAAGAGAGCACTGTCAGCACACATACACACACATTTACACACACACATACAGTTACACACACACACACACAAACACACACACACACAAACAGTTACACACACATTTCCTCTAAGTCTCACCTTTGCCGGTGCTCCACACGGTCAGCCTGCCGTTGCCCTGTCCGCAAGTCTGCGAGGCGTCCCCTCCACAGGCGGAGGAACACTCGGAGGCGTCAGTCGGGTCCCCCAGCCGCTCTAGCTCCGTGCTGGTCCCGCACCCGCACTTAGTCTCGTAGGTTCCTGTTGGAGGAACAAGATACAAGATACAAGATGGCTTAATTCGTTTTCGCAGTGTGTATATATATAACACTGAATCATAACTTTCGTTTCCTATTGGACTACCAATAATTTGCTTTCACTTCATTCCCTCACCTCATTTACATATCAATAATACATTTGTAGGTGTTGGTTGAAACCCCTGATGGGAAAACTGGTCGTGGGGTCGCATGGCGTAGCGGCAGAGTGCTCGACTCGGAACCAAGAGGTCCCGGGTTCGAGTCCTGACATGTCACCGATCTTGTACCCTTGGAAAAGGCACTTTCATCGCTTTGCTCAGGTAAAAATGAGTATTATATTGTCCCCTGTGTTTGTGACGACATTAACATAAGTTGAAAAACTTGTCTGTACCGTCGCCACGTCTTGTGATTAGATGTTCGAATATTTAAAAAAAAATGTTGACGGCCGTACCTGCATAGGGTTTGTCCTCCTTCGCACAGATGTCCACACATTTCTGGTTGGTCATGTCGTCGCTGGTTTCCCGGGTCCTGAAAGTTCCCCACTTCCGCTTGTAGCATCCTTTGTGGCTCTGAGCCGAGATCGTCCCTGTGAGGAAAAACACAAGGTTTAGTGATACTGAAGGTTTTGCCTCACTAGCCTCCGTAGCAGGCTTATAGAACTGGGGTTTGGTGGTCTTCGGCTGTTTTCTGATTAGCCTCCGTAGCAGGCTTATAGAACTGGGGTTTGGTGGTCTTCGGCTGTTTTCTGATTAGCCTCCGTAGCAGGCTTATAGAACTGGGGGTTTGGTGGTCTTCGGCTGTTTTCTGATTAGCCCAGTTCTAAAAAAACGGGGGTAATTCAACCAGGCCGGCTATGCTGTCTATATGCAATCAGAAAATAGCACATAAAAGCCCCCAAAGACCCTGAAGACCCCCCCCCAAACCCCCAGTTTTTGGCATGCTGTGGCGGCTACACAGACTACATGTTCGGTACGTACACATCCACATAGATCACAAAATACTCATCTTAGTACAGAAATGTAACGTTACTCACCGACTAGAACAAGAACAACAGCAAGGGCCAAGATGCGTGCCATCTTCACAGTTTCCAGTCTCAAGATTCGAAGAAGATGAAGAACGAACTTCTTGACTGTGGAATCTGAAAGATCTCGACTTGACGCGACCAGCAGCTCGAATGGAGAGAACACCCGGCTTCTACTGAAGCAAAACTCGGTATGAATGTGGTCGCAACTGCAAATGTGGGTGTGGTTTCCTCAAGACAAGTGACGCCGTCTTCGCTTTACGATTGGCTCTCAAGAAAAAGATGGCCTCAAGGCATGGAGTAGACAATTACCTGTAACAACTAACAACCAGATATAATTTAGCCTTTGTTTAGACTTGATTTTTGTGCTCAGACTCGTTTGTGCATGTTCAATCATGATTTCTGTAAAATCTCAGGCTCTTTGATGCCTGTTGGTTGTGTAGGTGGATCGGTGAAAGTTTTGTGTGACTGTAGGAAGTTTTTTTATAGATTCTTCAAACATATTGAAGGGAGCCTAAATCTCTGTACTTTTAGGCCTTTCAGAAACACAAAAGAAACAGAAACACCTACTTAATTACCTTCGCTGCTGGCTGTGATTATCACCTTTTATAACCAATAACCTGTCCGGGGAGTAGATGTTCCACTTAATGAAACAAAGACGTTCTCGTAAGTGTTCCCTATAGAATTCTCTTCCAAAACAGCGAACTCAAATTTAGTAATAAAACTCTTTGTGTAAAAAAATCTCTACATGAATGGGAACAGCACTGTCTTGATTCAAAGATTGTCAAAATATCTGATCAATGGTATTAACGGTTGAAACTTGTGAACATGTCCTAAAGTCCCAACCATACTAAGACTACCCATTTGTTGTTTTCAAATCACACTTTATAATTATCACCTTTTACATACCCGCAACCCCAATGGACGTTTTGGAACCATAACGAGGACTTAAAGGCATTCAGTGTAGTTTTTATGGCTTGGAAACCAGATTTTTCAAAGTCAACATTCTAGCCTTTTATCTACATACTGGGTTGAAACTACACTGTCCCAATGTATATCGACATTCATGGAGCAAACATTCTGACGAAAAACGGTTACTGGAAGGACCTGGATTTATTTTTTGGGTACCAACAGAAAATAAAGGACTGATCTTTGGGGGCTTGTTTCTGCAGTTTGAAATTCCTAAAGTATGAAATACTGATTCAAGTATATTAATGTGGGATAGTATATGTCAACATCATGCAGATTGCCTTCTTCAGAATATTTCCAGTTTTGCTGCTCTGAAATTGCATTGGATGCCTTTAGGCGATGCTGGCTGCAATATTGTACCCTTGAGAAAGGCACTTAACACCTATTTCCTCAATCCACTTATGGTCCCTGTGTTTGGGGAGAGCCAACGTCGAGCACGTTTAAGAACCACACTTATAGATCCTTCCTGGTGTGAGTGGATCAAACCGTACAGTTTGTTACGCCAAAAAGCTTTTTAATGGCTAGGTAAAACAAACAAAAGTAAAAATCACACTCTTAAGCCGAACCTCTACAAGCAAACCGTTCGTTCGTGCTGGAACGCGGAAATGAACTTTGCTTGTTTTCTCTACGGTGAGCTTCGGTGTCCCTGTAAATAAAAGAACCAATAGGCAGGGCATTTTCTGAGGTAGACCCAATGATCCACACTTTTCGAGGTCAGGATATCACTTGGCACGTACCTGCACAAGAAGACGGACTTCAACAGCCCGTACGACAAGGAAATAAGTAGGGACCACACCTGGGCGTCTTTGGGAAACACTCACTTCGGCACCTTAAGGCACCACCGAAGCTTCTTTAGCCGCTGTTCGACTTTGTAGGTTTCCTTAAGTTGGCGTCACACCGCCCAAGACATTCGTGAAAGTGGAAGTAACTTGCTTATCTTTTTGTGGATGGGGAAGTGCATATAACTCCAGAAATAGACTTAAATATTCACCGCTTTTACGGGAAGAAGCGTGTAAACTCCTAGCACAACGTCAGGCCTCCGCACAAGACTTTTATAGCGTCCTGAAACGTCTGCAGCGTCACGCTAAGGCCTCTCAATCAAGAAGGTTGGTAATATGAATTATTCCTTTGACACTGTGTCGTATGAAGGTGATACGAGAGTGGTTGTCATTTTAAAGAATGTTGTTTAAAATGCCCCATTTTAGATATTACTTCGTCTGTGAGTATAAGAAATAAAACTATGTTATCCTTTTAAGGCGCCGTTATTTCATATTCAATATCAAACACGTAACAAAGTAAGATCAAGTTTCGGAGTTAATGAATACACGTATTATGGAAATACCAGTACACTGTACCGCTAGAGAAACTCGATAAACCATTGCAGCTGCGCACCAGAACTTACAAGGAAGACGACCTGACTAATGACCCAAGAGAGTCTAGGATAACAGATCCGTCATTTGTTTTTCATTTTTGGCGCGAACCCAAATCCTAGTATTGACAAATGGCATGGCAGAAAGGGTCTATGCTGCTTCTGCAAACCATGACACGTTTTTTTCATGGTATTTGATTTTTGGCGCAACCTCAAAGCCTGGCATTGACACATAGCATAACAAAGACCATTCCCGCTTTGGGCATGAGAAATGACTGATTTTGCACACCATTTTGTTTATGTTTAAGCAAAGTCTGACAAAGTTTGACAATAATTCTATCATTTTACAGTGAAGCTGGTCAGAAGAGAGAAGAGCTCGAGAAGCATCGAGAGATCAAATAACTTGGAAGACGGCCTTAGAAGATTATTCTACAACTTGTCAATGTTCTTTATCCTTCGTCTTTTGGATTTTTCCGTCACGGTCCGACGTCCTACAACACGCTAGTGTACGTAACGGCAAGGAGCCTTTGAATTCGGCTATTAACGGGAAACAATCTCATTTGTCGTTGCTGGACGCAATTCACAATCGCATCGCCCGTCTCTCTGGAGTTTGTTACCGGGCAAAACGAACAGACAATCAAAGTCCTTCCGCCAACATACGTGAAAAGATACCTCCATACTTTGTCACTCAATGACATTGGCAATGTCGTCCTCAAATAACGTCTATTACATGATCGGCGATTTCACCATCTCACTGATCGGAATATCGGCCAACCTGTTTGTTGACAAATCGGTCAACTCAGTCAACTCGGTCAACTCGGTCAACTCGATCAACTCGGTCAACTCGGTCAACTTGGTCCACTACCCTGGTCAACTCGGTCAACTCAGTCCACTACCCTGGTCAACTCGGTCAACTCGGTCAACTCGGTCAACTCGATCAACTCGGTCAACTCGGTCCACTACCCTGGTCAACTCGGTCAACTCGGTCAACTCGGTCCACTACCCTGGTCAACTCGGTCAACTCGGTCAACTCGGTCAACTCGGTCAACTCGGTCCACTCGGTCAACTCGGTCCACTACCCTGGTCAACTCGGTCAACTCGGTCAACTCGATCAACTCGGTCAACTCACACTGCTTGAAAAACCACGTTTCCAAGAGTTTCCAGTCCCGCACACGCCCGTGAAATTCGCCGTGTCCTGGTCGCGTCCATGGATTTCCGGGCTCCGCGTGTACGGCCCCGGATATTTCCTTACACTCCCGGATTCGTGCTCGCCGTGCACGTGCACGGAAATTTACGCCCCGCACACTTGGCGTGTGTTGGGGAGCGGCTAACAATAAGGGGTAATTAGGTACTGCGTGTATTCATGTTTCAGGTGATAATTACTTGAACCAAAGTTGCCAGCACTTTAATCTAAGCAAATTAGATATAGAATGATCAAGGATTGTTCATACAACATTTGAACCTATGGGTCCTTGGCTTGATTTATCGTTATGTCGTCCATACGACAAAGCACATTTGAGCGTAGGGCGCCCCGACACTGGGGTTATATGACCTACTCGGTACAAAATGACCTAAATCTACACTCCGGTCTAAATCTGTAATTTTTATTTAGGAAATAATAGTTTATCCGTGAGGTTCATTACCATGATGTAGTCAAACGCTTGACTAAGGGGTTTGAACTAACATGACCTGATCAGTTTGTTATGATTTTTAGGTACATGTATGGGTAATAATATGCAAGCTTTACATTGTAGTTCGGTCGATGTGTATTGCGATGTGTCTGACATGGCGTCCGTTTATGTGAATAGCCTTTGTGTAAACAAAGGGAGAACTCACAGCGTCCCCATGCCTGGTAAAATACTGAAATCCAGCAAAGCAAGTCAACCCTCATGACATTAATTGTGGATTTTGGATACATTTACAAAGAGTAAGGTTATGTTGGAGTTGAAGTGCGGTTTTATTCACTTAGTGAGCGACAAGTTGTGTAATTCTAGAACGAATAAAGCCATGTAATCATGACGAATTAGAATTATGAAGATCATTTGTCTGCCTTGAAATAAATACATTCACACAATCAGAAACATCCAAGTGTTCAGACTGCACAGGCGATTTAACTTAAAACCTATAATATAAAAACAAGATTGTTGTAGTATTGAACGCGATCACGTGATTATATGACTGACGACCAATCCTATCTCGCTCTCGCCGGGACCAGCCAATAAGAGCCGCGATGCTTTGTTTTGGTGGGTCGTTTGAATCTTGCTTTGTCACAACGACGGTTTGCTTTTTCAAAACACGTTTGTCTCGGCTTGCAAAGATTACTAGTATGTTCCTGAACTAAATGGCGTCAAACATTCCGTTCTGTTACTTCGTTTTCGCAACGGAAGAAATGACTCTACTACATTGAAAGGACAACACCGCAACGAACCAGCAAACCGACAGGAGGAAGGGTAAGCTAAAACAAGGATACTATTATATATACGGCACTATCGTTACATATATCTTAAACATGTTGTTTAAAAACCTTGGCTAAGTTGTGCCTACGGCAGAAATATTTATTTTGGCTAAGAAGTGTACACTATTTTTTTACTGTATTA